AAGGAGAGGGGGTTCATTTCGGGCCGTGCTTTGCAAATGCCGGAGATTTGGGAGGAATGCACAGTTCCGCTTGCTGACGCAGGTCAGGGCCTCGCCAAAGGTGCGAAAGCGAAAGGCATTGTGGTGTATGCTGCTGACATGGCCTCGATGCCATGTAGTTTTCAAGGCCAAGTCTGTGGTCGGCTCAAACGGATAAGAAGGGGGGGCTCTCCTATGAAACTTGGCGACGTTGTGGCTTTTGGCCGTCGAAAAAGACATAGATTGCTTTAAAACTAGGAGAATTGGCGCTTCTATGGGTATCTTGCACATATGTCTTGCAATTTGCTTGTGGGCAATGAATATCGCTGCCTCGGAATCGATCTTACATGACTAAGCCTCAAGACTCTGTGCTGACATCAGTCCTCTGCTGTTGCTGCATCGCCATGCCAACCTTAGGCAATCCAGGGTAAGTGACTCCTAGGCCTTGGATGTCTTGTAAGAATGTCCGAACAGATCTGCAGAGAGGTGTACTAACACTCTCTCCATTGCGCAGGAGTGATATACTGAGTTCGAGCGTCTCTGAGATCTGCAGAAGAGGTATTAAACCCCCGTGCGGCTCTGTCAAGCAAGGGACCTTTTCTTTGTCCCAGAATCCAATTAGAGAACCAGAAAACAAAGCGGAGTCTTCAAGTGGCCCATCAATAGCGTCCAGACCACGGTTCTGCTTGGTTGACCGCAGCTCAGAAGCAAAAAGAGAAGGGCCAGAGGTACAGTCGTGGGCATCCGTATTGTCAGCGCCGGTTTGAGCAGCCATACCGTAGGCCCAAAGAAGCAAGGCTGCTCGTGCCACCGCCAACGGCCACCACAGCGGTCTGGCGGTATCTTCTGCAACAATTGTGAGGGTATGCATGATTTGCCCGGCATGGAGGAGCGCTCGGGCTGCACCTGAAGTCTTTGCCCATCTCTTGAATGATGGCATCAGCATTCTGCCCTCCACGAAGCCCTCCTTCCCTGCGAAGAGTTGTACATCATCGAATGAAACATAGAGCTCCATGGCGATCAAGTGGGCCATCAAAATGCATGATAAGTCGGTGCCGCAACTGATGGGAGCGGTATGTGGCATGACACGTCGATACAAGAGATGCCATTTGACCAGGAGGTAATGAAGCTCCTCGCGTCGAAGCTGGCCGTATTCGGAAGATGCCGATATCGCACATGTCTCAGGGATAAATTCTTCTTCTTCAGGCACAAACCTTTTGGTTTGGCTATACTGTGACACGAGCGTTTGAATGCTGCACAGGAGTAATCGGACCTCAAAGGGGGTCACAGCATCCTGAAATTGGAATATGTTCCCCGAGAGGAAACGCCGATGAAAAGCGGCCAGAGAATGCGGGCATTTTAATGCTGCCACTGTCGATGATGTCGGTGTGGAGAGTCCGGATTGGGCCACTTGAACCTGGTCCCTCCATGCTTCGTCACTCGAAGCAGCAAACAGTGCCTCATTGCTGGGCATTGGGCAGCGCATCTCAGTGAAAGACAAAGTCGTGGGTACGCCGTTGAAAAGGCTGATCTCCTGTTCCACGACATACCACACATACGCCAGTCTGGAATAGGCACGTCAGCATTGTAATCGCTGTCGGTAAAGCATACTGCGTACCGCCTGCGTGTCTCTTTCATAAGCCAGTCTCTCCATTCAAGCTCAATGTTGGCGAGGTTGATCTTGAATATCCTTTGCTGGGCCCTTTCGTGCAATCCTCGCCGAGACATCATCTGGTATCACAATTAGCTATGCCGAATCCAATAGCAATGAATTTACCGTTGTGTATGAGCTTCTTAGCGCTTCTGCGAGTTCCATCTGTCTCTTGTTACCTGACCATATGCCAAATGCGGTTATCAAAATCGCGGTGCTGGTGAGATATATGTCTTTGGTCTGATTTGCATCCCTCAAGAAGATCTCGTAAAGGACCTGGAGAACAATGCTTGCCAGGTCAGTTGCAAAGGTCTGAACTTCCGTCACAGGAATCATCAGCGCCCCAGACACGAATGTGCTCAGAAGTTGTAGTTGCATTCCAGGTCCGCTGTATTGCATCGTATGATTATGACTAAACGTGCCAGGATGCGTGATCGGGTAGAATCCAGCCAGCCGGGAGAGATATGTTTCGAAAATGACCTGGACCGTCCTTAAAGGCGGGAACGTTGTCGGGATCTTCCCCATTTGATCCTTGTCGAGCACTTTGGCCAGGACGATATGGATTGTTGCCATGATCGAATCTCGTACTTCCTCTGGAATGGTGATGTTGGTACGGTTTTTTCGGGATTGGCCAAACTCATCCACTTTTGCCCAGGCTTGCCTGCTTTGAAGAAAGTCGCAGATAACGGAAGTTCTGAGTGGATTTCCCTTCGGGTCCGGCTTGTAGAGCTGAGGATAGTTTTCATACCTCTCACGGTCGTCGGTTGATATATCTGACCCCTGCATGTGGTTCTCGGGGCCCTCACCGGTTGGATTGATTTGAGTGGGATGCAAGAATTCAGCTGGGTATGATGTGTCAAGGAAAAGACCTGGTCCACCCTGTTCATCGAAAAAGAGGGAAAAGTCATCCCAAGCAGGGCTAAACGTGCCAGCCACTGATGGCTCATTGCCTTGCCATCCCGAGTCTGAATTTGAAGCCGCTTTTGGAGAAGACTGATCTTCACTGGCAAGAGTGTACAAGGTTTGCGGGAAACGTAGGTCCTCTACTGTATCGGACACAGTGGGAAGAAGTGTGTCATCAACCGTAGATGTTTCCGTGGTTACTGAAAGACCATTCTTTGAAGATGAGTTAGCTGGACCGGAGCCATTATAGCGGAAAAGCGAAAGGGTCTGTACAGTGGCATCGTTTTCTGGACCTCTTCGTGTTCTTTCACGGACTCCAGAAAGCCTTCGCTCACGTAAAGATGGATCGACGCATAATCTTTTGAATGCGACGTGATCTCTTTCCAAAGTGCAAGCTGAGCTCTGTTTGTTGCATCGGCCGCAGGGAGATTTTCCATCACATCGTACTTTCATTCTTGCGCAACGGTCACAAGCAGCAACTGTTCTGGGAAGCGCGTGCGACTCAAGACCACTGTTTGGACCCATGTGCGCGCGGACTGGGGGCAGAATACCGTGGCTCTTTTCGTGGCGTTTCAGCGCATCCCTATGTGTGTATTACTTAGTCGTGGGTGCCGCCAAATCCAACCGAAACGACCTACTTTCGGGCGAACTTCTGCGAACAAACTCCGCAAGAGTACGAACGAAATGGATTGTCTGACGCGTAAAGTCTTAGCGCTTGGGCTGATCGTTGTGGTTGTTTGCAAAGCTTACGTATTTGTTGATGCCGTTGAAGATGTTCACTTCGTGAGAACTCTTTCAAGCATTGGCCACATCGATGTTTGATTCGTTCTTTTCCTGGCATTTGGACAGGCTGTTTCGAACCGCTGTCTGGAAGACTCTATCACGCGGCTGTGGACTCCCCAGGAGGAAAGCAGTAGACTGGTGAGATATGCAAGTAAAATACTTTAGCTCCGTAACTCTGCATCACAGTGACAGGTAAAAGGGTAGAAAGTAACTTGTACCAGTTGACAAGTAGGTAGCAGTGCCGATTGATAACGATTGGTGACGCCACTCGTCCCAGGTGTCGGATTATACACTCCCGCCAAGTCGGATGCGCCGAGGGATGCAGAAGCGGGGTTTCAAATCTGTTCGTTTCAGTTAACGTCCAGGCTCGGGCTTAATGTCTACAAGGTTTAAAAGGTTGAAGGCCGCTCATCGCGTTCTCACATGCTCCAGCAGCGGCCAAGTCTGCTTCTTTTCCGTCTTCTCGTTTCTGAAGTGTCTGTGACATCGGTAGTGAGATTTCTTCTCGCCGCTTCTCCCTATTGAATAGTGGCGCATTGAAGTCTCAATGGTCCAGGATGAGAGGTCTCACCAATCCTGGTGCGGATGTTAGTCGCAGAGGGACGGAGCACTCCGTATAGTGCGCTCAAGTACCTCGTACCTCGTAGATTACTCTCATATCAGGGAGGAAGCTGGGCTCAAATTTCTGCTGGAGGGAGGCGAGGAGGTTGGGGAAGCGGGGACTCGGAAACCGCTGGCCGACATCACTAGAGAAGAGATGCACTAGCACCTACTAGTGCCTGCGCAAAGCATCAACAGCCAATGGCTGCCCCGACACTATGACTCTATGTCTAATTAAGTTAGCAGACTTCCTCCTACGGAAGACTTGGGAGGTATTAGTAGTAGATCACGTGTCTTCCATTGCCGCTCTCCTCTAGTACTCGCAAAGCACCTGGCTCGATGGTACTTGTAGTACACCGGCTTCCCTGTAGACATCGTAACCGTCAAGGGTTAACACTGCTCTTATAATCGTGAACAAGAGAGAGCTGCCAAGCGATGACGAACCCCAACTTTCTATTTGTATGGACCAAATCTACAGACATGTAGCAGCTGGCATTCAGGCGAATGGGTCGCATATTCTTCGGCTTCACACATGCGTAGCCACTCTTCAAAAATAGGTCCACTAAGCCTACCTCGTCCTTGCCTTCTTCAAGATGTAGGAATACTACGAAATGCCAATGAATGATTGGGAAATGACAGGACCATGCGCCGACGCTCCAGCTTTTGCCCCCACCCCTTCCGATCCGATCGGGGTGCTTGTGGGGGTGGGCCTCCTAGTGTTGGCGACGGTTCGCTACTGGTTCATTCTGAACACAAAAGATGCTGAGGAAAGAGGACGCTGATTGATGCAGCCTAGCTCTATCCCCACCGACTGACTACTTTGGCACCGTAAACGGCTAGTTCGTTTGCTTTCTTGATACTTGACATGAATGGTTTGGCGAGGTTATCACAACCCAGACTCGCTTGTCTGGGGGTTTTAGAGGCGACATGTAAAACAGAGCCTTTACATCAAGTGCGATACCAGGTGGGGGCGCTAGAACACAGTTCTGGGACTCGACCTCGTCCGGAGAAGGGCACACACCAACCTGAGCAAAGGTGTACAAATATGGCTCCCGAAGTCGCCATATCCTGGAAAGCGTTAGGTGATCGTTGAGCTTTCGAATCCGATTCACCAATACTGACCGAAAACTCGCAGCCATGGCAGCCAAGGCTAACAACCAGATAGACGTTGAGAAGCTCTCAAGCAACCTCGAACCTGAGACGGCCCATCTTGAGAGGCCAACTATTAACCTGGGAAATGAGGCCGTCTTGCTCGATGTTACTGCCGGTCACATTGACGGCTCTCTGCTCGGTGATTTGAAACTGGCAAAAGATGGACATGTAAGAACTGCATGAATTCTTCCTGTCACGCAAACGCGGTAGAATTGACAATTTGGCAGACGGTCCTGATTCCGCAGCCGTCAGAAGATCCGAATGATCCTCTGAACTGGTCATCCTTCAAAAAGCATATGATCCTCGTGATCCTGGGCATCGCGGCTGGTTTGGGGGATTTCACGTCAACGCTGGGCATCCCTCCTATCATCTTGCAGGGCGTCAAATGGAATTTATCCCCGGCAGTCGTGAATTACAACAACAATCTCAATGTTCTCATGCTGTAAGTGAAGATTTCGTTTCTTAAAGATCGTGTCTGACAATTGATTCTCAGTGCCATCGGCGGCCTCTTTTGGGTTCCGTTTGTATACTTCTGGGGACGTGCTCCAGTTTTGTTTTGGACGACACTAGCCGGCACGCTCTTTTCACTAGGCACCATCCTTACAGATGATTTCAACACGTATTATGCCCTTCGGGCTCTGCAAGGCTTCTGTCTGTCCTCAGTCCAAGGCATTGGCTTGAACTTTATCAAGGACATGTTCTTCTTCCACGAACATGCCCGCAAGATTGGCATCTGGGCAGCCATCTTCCTAACATGTCCTTATCTCGGCCCACCCTTTGGCAACTTCATTATTGCTGGCACTGGTACATACGTCGGCTGTCTGTGGCTGGGATTTGCCTGTTGCTGTGTCAATTTGACTCTCATTATCCTTTTCTTGGACGAAACGTGGTATAGGCGCGAAGTTCCAATTGAAGACCAACCAGCTCGCGGCCAGCGACTACTCCGCGTCGTTGGCATTTGGCAAATTACTGTCCAGAAAGGATATTTCCTGTCCATCCGAGAGTCGTTCTATCGACTTCTTCGAGTTTTCGTCAAGCCTATCATCATTCCGAGCATGATCTATTTGTGAGGACATACCTCCAAATTTATGGAGACCGAGCTGACCATGTCTCTAGTGGTATCAATATCATGTGGGCAGTGGGCATCAACATCGAGACGTCGGTTCTATTTACTGTCCCCAAAGAAGCGGGTGGATATGGGTTTGGCCCAAACGCCCTTGGAGCAATCTGTCTGACACCGGCAATCGGCACGATCTTGGCAGAGATCTGGGGTCATTTCTTCAACGACTGGCTTGCTAACCGGTACATCAAGAAGCACGAAGGTGTGTTTGTTCCCGAAGCCCGTCTCGTCACCAATTATGTCGCCGCCGTCATCATGGTTCCTGGCCTTGTAATCCTTGGAGAGGCATTGCAACATACACTCAATTACGGTGCAATCATTATCGGTTGGGGAGCCTATACTGCCGGCACCTTGGCTGCGTCTGTCTCACTGACCGCCTATCTTCTGGACGCGTACCCCGTTGCAGCAGGAGAAGTCAACGCTCTTCTCAATTTTGCTAGAGCGATAAGCGGATTCTCTGTCGGGTATTTCCAAGTGCAATGGGGAGCGAAGGTCGGGTATGATGGATCTTTCGGAACACAGGCAGCTATTGTCGGTGCATCTGTGGTCATTATTGTTGTTCTTCATATCTATGGCGGTCGAATGCGTGCCAAAGGCGGTCACGTATGAACAAGGCCCTCGAAGGAAATTTGTTAGTGAAGGCTACTGAACCGTTTTGGAGCGTCCGTCTTACCGCGGATTCAGTGTGGAAATTTCGGGCAGGTCAAGCAGGAATTCTTTCCATATTTCATCATGTCCCGCGAAGACACTCTTAGGTCGAAATTAACACAGTAATACTGGCAGTAATTATTTAACTGGACTGGCAGGATCAAACTGAGCACAATTGTTCTTTGATGCCCTGATAAGCACGACACGTCTCCCCGAGCTCTCTCAGGAAGGAGAAGCTCCTTTCCTCAAAGCGTCCTATTTGCTTGAGGAGTTACAAATCTTCCCTCAACAGCTTTGCATTATTAGATGCCTCAAACAGCTTCAAGATCTGGCTATGAGCCGCCAGCAAGATCCCACCACCAGGACAGAACCGGAGAAGTTTTGCAGCGAGGCCTTTGTATAGACCCCGAATGCCTTCCTCCCGCGCCACCGTGACCAAAGCCGGAAAGGCCCAGTTGTATTTTGACCTTGCAGCTTTTGTTCTCGTTGATGCTTGGATTCGTGTCTTGACCACGTCTAACGGCGTGTTAAGTAGGGTCCCCAAACTTCCTCCAATCGAACCGGTGAAAAAGTTCGTCATCGTCTGCTCGAAGTCGGTGGTTGGCGTCGGCATCGCTGCCTTGACTTTGAAGATGCTGCCAAAATACCCGGCATTCCAGACTACATGACGCCACAATGTACTCTCAAACCCTTGGTATAGCACGAGCAGTCCCTCACTCTTGACGACCTGGGTCAGGCATCGGGTCACGGATTTGTATCTGCTTGCGACGGAAGGGTCCTGCAATCGAACCTTGATGAGCTCGAACGGGGTGACCACCACCGCTTCCACTGCACCGGCACTGGAGCCAGCAAGGATCGCCACGGCCTGATCCACCTTTTGGGCCCCAAGAAGTCTCAGGTACTGCCTGGTGAAGATGTCGTTGGACGAGAACTTGACCGCTCTGGAGGTATAATAGCGCATTGTCAGCCCTTTCGAGTCACCGATGCGTGTTTTTATGGATCTGAGACCTTTTCGGGGTTTCCATCAGGATTGGAACCGTAATACCACGGTACAAACGTCTGAATCTGCGATGTCATCGGTACTTCGCGCCGAACACTTATCGTGGAGCAGGACAAATACCCTTCATGCCTGATGATTTTCGAGAAGCAATCCATAACGCCACGGTAAGACTTGGTCAGGGCACTATTTGATTGCTGGAGCTGTCTTTCAAAGAATCAGATACGTGAGGAGCTTCGTGAGTTCGTAGTTCCCGTACGTACAGCCTCGTCTTTACGACGTCCAAGGGATACCTACGTACATCTGTCAACGAGTCTTCTTTCCCGTACCACCTAGCACCGTGAAGGTTCGAACATAATTAAGATCTGAGGAAAGACGGATTCAAATCAGCAAACTCTCCGCCATGCAATAAGACCATCGCTGCACACCTCAGAAACGCCTGCTCCGGCTCCTGAAATCCAGTCAGTCTTAGAATAGATCCGCGGGTTTGACGTTTCCTCTCACTTACCGGCCGCAAACTCCTGCACGAAAGTGACGTTCTTTCTCTGCGTCATCGCTATGGCGAGAATCCTGGGATAGTATCCAGAAGCGAAGAAGCAATTAAGCAAGGCTATACTTTCATCACTCCCACCATACGAAGTACCGATCGTTGCATATTAAGCTCCCGATTTCAGGTCTTATCGATAGATGGACATCCAGTTGTAGCCCCAATCTCACGTTCGTCTATGGCGCAAGTCATTTGAGCTGCTTGGTCGAATGACTGCTGGGCGAATGTGGGGAGTTGACCTAGAAAATCACGAAGAAGGAACTGTGGGTCTTGAGGTACTCTGTCCACATTTTTACTATACAGTTGCAAAGGTCGTTAGATTCACCTAGTTAATATGCCCCCACACCGCTGACGGCTCTCGGAGACAACGTTGTCATCAACACCGAGCATCAGATCACCATAACTAATCTATTTTATACTTATCTAGGATCAAAGCTAGAAGTTACGACTTCCCTCCGGACCAATTGCGCCGTGACACGGAATCTATCATTGGCACCCTGCAAATGCCGCAGAGAGATGGTACATGGCATGATATTTTTCGCCATACCATAGAGCAGGTCAGGAGATGACTGCCTGTCGAGGAGTTGCATGAGTCGGTGTGAAAAAGCTTTTCCATGTCTCCTCAACCAACCGCATCACTGGCCCTCAAATCAAGAATCTTTTGAGAGTCAAAGCCCAATCTTTCTCTGAGAATCTCGTCCGTGTGTTGTCCAAGTAGGGGCGGTGGTGTTCGTACCGAAGGTTGGGATCTTGAGTATTTGATCGGCGTATTGACCAGGTCTATCACACCGCAGCTCGGGTGGTCAATCGAGACTACCATACCTCGCGCTCGGACTGCATTGGCGGTGAGCTTGAATTCCGTAGGAGCCTTAAACACTCACCATGTCTGTGATTGAGGGTGTCCATCAAATCATTGACTTTGGCATACGGAAGACCTGTGCCCTCAAAAGTGTCCAACCACTCTTGCGTCGTCTTACGCCTTGTAATCTCCTCGATGGCTGGTTCCAAGACGCCTCGGTTTGCAACTCTTGTAGCATTCGTTGAGAAACGTTCATCACTGGCCCATTCTGGCTTCCCCAAACCCGAGCATAGGATTCCGAAGAGCCGGTCATTACCACCACCGAAGAGAACATCTCCGTCTGACGTTTGGAAGGCTCGATAAGGTACGACAGAAGCTAAAGTCTAGTTAGCTGAAGGATAGCAAGCGCAATTGAAAGACCGTACGATGTGCAGTACCCCATCTGCCACTATCCCTCTTTTTTGAAATCAAGACAGATTCTGCCATGTTCGATAACGTGGCAACCTGGCAATCGCTGAGACAAACATCCAGATGCTGGCCTTGGTTCGAATTGTGTCGCTCAAGAAGGGCCGCCATGATGCTGTTGCAGGCGTACATGCCCGTGGTCAAATCTGTGACTGCGCAGCCGACCTTGACCGGGGGCCCATCTCTCGTACCGGTGATGTGCATCAATCCCATCTCTCTGTCGACACGGTTAAATCTTCTTGCGTAAAGTCCAGGTTCAAAACTCACGCTTCCACCATCACGTCATATCCTGCCCTGTCACTATATGGCCCGTATTGACCGTAGCCAGTTATGCTTGCGTATATCAGCCGTGGATTTGTCTTCTGCAAAGTCTCAAAGTCCAGTCCATATTTCCTCAATGTCCCGGGCAAGTAGTTCTCCACAAAGACATCGGCGCCTCGTGCAAGCTCTCGGATGATGTCGGCACCCTCTGGATGCTGAAATGACACACCCAAAGACTTCTTGTTGCGATTGACCTTATATTTGATATCAGCTTAATGTGAAAATCCAACACCAAAAGTCCTCTCTTACAGAGAGGTAATATGCGCTTTCGCCTGGACCGCTCTTGTCATCGAGGTATGGCGCGTAAGGGGGACCCCATTGTCGCGTGTCGTCGCCGCGGAGAGGATGTTCAATTTTGGTGATATCCGCACGGTTGGGATGTCAGTATAGGGGAGAACATTGAGTCTATCCCCTGCACTCACCCAAGGTCTCCAAGAATTTGCGTGCAGAATGGCTGGGAACCTGTCAGCCAAGGAACAAAAATATGGTGGAGGGAACCTACCCCGGCCAGAACCCTGGTCAAATCTACGACCTTGATTCCCTGTAAAGGGAGGCTCTTCTCGGACGGCAAAGTTCCCAGCCTTCTGGAAGGAGCAAGCCTCGTTCTAGAGGCCAGTCGTGAAAGTTGCCTTCCAGTGACCGTGACGGGAACCATGCTGCAGTTTGACTCTCAGAAAGACATATTCCAACCGGCTCAATATGGGTTTGAATAGCGAAAAAGTATGCTTCTCAAAGTGCATCTAAGACACCCTCTTCCTGTGGCTGTGCAAGCATTTTTGTGATACTGTGCAATATGCTTGTTTCGGCCACAGCACAATGTCTGCCTTTTATGTGGGTTCACCGTCAACTTCTGGAAATTGGTGAACTGTTTCTTCCAAGGCGGCCTGGACGAACGACCTTCCAGGTGCTAGAAGTGCCTAAGGAGGCTTGCAGGTGGGGCCTCCAGGTACCAATGTCACCTAACTTAGATGCCTAACGAGCCTAATGCCCAGGTGGGAGCCCATTTCCTGCATGTGAGATCAGTCGTGAAGCAAGCCACGATGCATTCGATCAAATTTATGATGGTATAGTCCTCAGGTTTCTGCTTGAATGCCGAATTTCTTGATTGAGCCACGATGTCGAAACTGCAGACACTCCTACATTGCCATCGAGGCGTGAGACAACCGCTACCATTCGTGTTTTCCCAGCATCGCTCATTTTCGAGCAGTCATGCACGACTTCGCATCAACAAATTCCTCGCCTCGCCCTTTGAAGCTGTTGCGGACGTCAAAAGTGGTGATACGGTCCTCGTCGGCGGGTTTGGATTGTCTGGAGTACCAATGACGCTGATCAAAGCCCTTCGCGATCACTCGGAAATCAAGGATCTGACCGTGGTGTCCAATAATGCTGGAATGCCGGGTGTAGGACTCGGTCAGTAGATTCTTATAGCGTTCAAGGCAGAACCGCACTGATACATGCAGGTCAACTATTGGACACGAAGCAAATCGGCAAGATGATAGCATCATATATCGGAGAAAACAAGAAATTCGAGGCTATGTATTTATCCGGCGAGCTCTCCTTAGAGCTCACACCGCAGGGAACCATGGCAGAGAGATGTGCGGCCGGAGCAGCCGGTGTACCTGCATTCTACACACCGGCCGCCTATGGAAGTATGGGTAAGACACCTGGTGGAATCTATTTCGCACAGAGGAAGGAGGCTCACCTTTTGATTCGTTGCAGTGCAGACAGGAGAGCTCCCGGTGCGATACAAGAACGACGGCTCAGTTGACCTCATGTCTAAACCTCGCGAAACTCGAAGTTTCAGAGGCAAGCAGTACCTATTAGAAGAATCG